AATACAATCCCCTTGTGTACAAGAATATTTATGTTTATGCTTAAAAGTAAGTGCAATTTGTAAGCACATCAACAAAATTCTTTACACTCGTCGCTTTCATCTTTTGGATTAAAACGATATTTGGAAAATCACAACGGCGCAATGAATGACACAGAAATGAAATTTTGAAAGCATTTAACGACAATCCTCGGCTAAGTAGGTACACGAAGAACGTCTCGGCAACTTGGGGTGAGTAAATCGAAAATTTGAAAAGTTCTACTTAAGGATGACAGAAATCCGTACCATTTACAACCTGGGCACAATTTACTTCCGGGAGATGCAGAGAGACGCCTGAATTTTTATCAGTGGTTGTTTGAATTCTTACTAGAAATACTTTGGACGATGAGGCTACGTTCACAAGGTGAGGGGCAGTGAATTTTCATAATCTGGATATTTGGTCACAAGAAAATCCTCATAAAATTCGATGTCATTTCTAAACTTTCTAGAAAACCATCTATTTGAATTATTAGAGGATGTTCCATTAAATATACGACAAAATAGCTGGTTACAAATGGATGGTGCCCCTGCGCATTTTAGGAGAATAATACAAGAATGGCTTAATGAAAATTATATGAGATGATGGATAGGTAGAAGACCAAATGCCAATGTCAACCATAATGGTGCAGAGGGTCCAGTGTCTTGGCCAGCCAGATCGCCAGATCTAAACTACCTGGACCTCTATGTTTGGGGTGACCTACCTGAAAAGTTTACTCTACTCCAATAGATACTAGACCACAACTACTGCAGCGAATAGAAAACCACCATATGATATTAGCTTGAATTAGTTCCATTAATAGAAGATGTCAGAAATGTATCGATATGGGTGGTTCGCATTTTAAACAATTGCTGTAAATACGTAACGTTAATTTTGTTTCTTGTTTAGTTGTTGTTGCTTGGTAAATGTATTTTTATTATTATTTTGATTTAAATTGTTCTTATTTGTAAAGATAATACCTCCAGGGAAAACTAAAACACCAGGAACACTGCCTCACAAGTGATGTGGAAAGAATTTTGTTGATGTGCTTGTAAATTGCACTTACTTTTAAGCATAAACATAAATATTTTTGTAATATTATGATCTGAAGTGTCTGCCACAAGGGGATTGTATTTGTATCAATAACTTGAAAATGGTGAACCTTAGGGAAAAAATTCAAGTCACCTATTTTACGTATTTAGTGCATTAGAATATAAATCCATTACAATAACTTGTAAAAAATACAGTGGCGTAGGTTTTTTTAAAAAAAGGGGGTGACCCCTGTTTAGTTGTACACCACTGGCTAAACTTTTAGAGCTCATATTTTAGGGAATACAAGGCCTACTATCGTACATTATTTGTACCAAATTTTATTGAGATCGGTAAATAGATTCCTGAGATATAAAGAAAAAATAATATTTTTTTAACAACTTCAACACCCTGTCTCTAAAACGAGGCCGTTCCAGACTTATGTTTATAAGGCAAACTCCTATTATTTTAAAGAGATCTATCTGTCCTCTAAGTTTCCTGCATAATATTCGGACCACCCTGTATAATAATTTTATCAACACATTATTGTCATTGAAGATGAGATGTCTTATCACAAATCTTACTCTCTTCAAACTTGAAGAGACTAAATTCTGAATGTGATTTGGGAATGCCAATTCACTGCCAAAGTAAAGTCATAAATCTGTCAAGGTCCGTGTCAAGATGTCTGAATGAATCTCATAGTTAATGGGATTCATTTTGCGCGTGAATGAGACAAGTTTCCATTTAGATATATTTAAATAAATCATTTAAATTACACCATTCTACCTTATTTTACTGACGTAATCATCAACACTTGACACAGTAGAAAAATATTTCAAGTAGTCTGCATATATTAATTTATAGCAATTGAGAAAGGTAGTAATGTCGTTAATAGAAATAGAAAAGAGAAGGGGTCCAGATTAGAACCCTGGGATATCCAGAGGTAATAAGTGACGGTTAGATTTAAATCCATTATAACTGGCGTAATGCAGGCTACTCGACAATTGCGTCTCTATTATCGAACTTTTTGTAAGAAATACGAAGAAGAAAGTTGAATATAGATAGGTATTTTCTATGACCTATGAATTGCACTAATTATGTCTTGTGGACACTTGGGGTATGAGTACTCTTGTGTCTACTGTCACTTTCTTTTTGGCTTTGGCTTGCCTGACACTGGTTGCGAGGTCTTCTGTGATTACCTGAAAATTTGGAAGCTTTTAGGAGCTTGCTGTATCGCTGGAGATCTTTACCGCAGTATTGGACAACACTTGGGTGGTTGGGGCTTTAGAATTGAGGTTTAGGCCGGGAGGAATGTGCTCGAAAAAATTTGTGAAATTTTTTTAACAATGTTTTGATTTATTTATTATGGTGTAACATTCAAATAAGACACTTTAATAAAATACATATTTATTGTTGTGTCCCAGTATCCTTGGCTAGGAAATTTTATACCATCCTGTATCGTGTAGGAACACAATCAGATGTCTAGTTTTTATAACAACCAAAGTCCGGTCGTGCGCGCTTCACGCGGAGTAGGGCGAATATTAAATTCGAAAAAGAAACAGAACTTCTTGAAACGCGGGTCAGAAATAAGTACGTGAAATCGTTCATTCAACCTATGCCGTTGTAAAATTGCAATAGAAATATTAGAGTAGCCTCGATGCCGATATTTTGAACTGTACATCGTACATTACATCACCAGCATCCAATAGCTTTGCTAATAGTCAACTAAAAACAGTCAACTCGCCGGAGGTTGCTCCGTAAGTATAATTGCCGATCTTTTTTATTATTGCAGTTAGGTATACCGTGGTTTAAATATCCACAGGGCAAGTAAGTTAGGAGTAGGCGTGTACCGCGTTCGAGTCCCTCCGATCAGGTTTACACCTGATTATGTAATCAGCACGTGTCGCCCTGGGAGCCGTACTCCACATCTACACGATGTCTCTACCAAGCCTGTTTGCTGCGTCTTCCCCGTGGTTTTCCACTACATAGACTTCCTAGACGTATTGGCATTTCGGCCGATCTGATGTCGTCAGTCTATTCGTCAGAGCCATTTCCGGGACCATGGAGCCGCCATTTTAGCTTGTGGATTGGACCACGTGGATAAGTCAGGTTTTATTTTATGAATAACCACAAGATTTTGATTTCCATGCCAAATTTTAAACCTATTTTGTTCACATGACGTAACCATATTTAAATTTTCCTAATTACTGGATATCTGATTATGAGGTATATCTATGTATAACTGTGTATATTCTATCCGTCAACATTTAATATTATTTCATTATGTAAGGTACTTGTGATCACAAATAACCCACTACTATTTTGACACCGTTATTATATTATTTTACAATTATTAAATACAAAAATCTACATTTGAATGCTGCGTTAACCTTCACTTTTTTTTTGACTTATTATATAGGTATACTTATTAAATGTAGTATCAACTTTAATGCATTTTTGTAGATTAATTTAGAAGGTATATTTCATACCCATTACTTTACTTCATTACATCAAGTATTAGTGTAGCCATTCTTCAGTTTGAATAGTTTCTGATAAAACTGTTTTTAAATTTTATGTTTTCTGGTTTTCTTTCGTGATGTCTGTAACTACCTCAACTCACCAATGTTATACTTTAAATTGATAAAAAAAAACATCAGTATTTTTGATATTGACATTTATCACTTTCATCAATATTTGTTTACATATTTAAAAGTGATTGGCGCCCCTAGAAATAACCCTTAGATTGCATAATATATTTATTCCCTACTTGATGTGAATTAACACTTTTACCTTACCCACAACCTAGCCATAAAAGCCGGTGCATAAAAACAAATAAAGTGTGGTAATCTAGCAAATAAAGAAATAAACGACGCCATAATACAATGAATTTAATCATAAAATAGGTATTTACAATAAATAAGTACATGATTCTTAAAGAGCTTTATATAACACAACTTTAAATTTTGAGTTATTCTACACGTACGGCCAGGTTGCGATATTGGTTACTGAACACTAAAAGACACAGAGTCGACGTTCAATCACACGCCTTGATGGGGTTGTAGAAGTGGTTATAGTGAAGTCCGCTTTATAAATGGACAATTGATTTCTCTGGATTTTCAGGATCTTTGAACTGTAATGGTTTTGTAGCCTAACGTGGTAGTTTGTATTCCCCAGTTCGAATTTCACATTTTTTGGAGTTTTTGCTTTCCGAAATCTAAAATTGGGGTATTTGCAACTTTGGCGGAAATTTTCAAAACAGGCGAAATTTGAATGTCTACGTGACTATTTTTTTTTAGGGTTTAGGAATTTTAACTGTTTTTAGAAATCTCACGTGTAAATTCAAAATGTCTTCGGCAAATTGACATTTAACGCGACAAAATTTCAATAAATGTAACCTGCGCTTTTATAAAAATGTATTCAGTGCCTAGAAGTCCTCTGTAATTAACTGTGTAACCTTAAAACAGGAATTGAACCGTCCTCTGTCTTAATCCAGCATTGCCAAGTTTCCTGGAGACGCAAGTGAGTCTGAGTCGTCTCCTTGTTGGCAAGACCTCGTAGGAAAGGATTAAGGTCGCGATGTCCGCATCAATTATCTCATCAATGGTATTGCGACCGATTATTTTCATACTCCGGCGAATAACTGAATCAGTTTGACGTCGAGTCGAATTAGCAGAACGCCACTCTAATTTTCATCGACTTCCATTTCAATTAACGTAATTTTTTTTGTGTCACAGAAATTGCTTTTGTTTGCACTAATTCGAAGGAATTGTGTGCGATCAGCAGGCGTTAAATTGTAAGTGTGTACCTATTTCGGCTTTCATTAGAAATAAACGAGAGATGATTGCAGGAAATTGAAGTATTAATACCTAGAATTTAAAAAATTACAACTGGACAATTAGCTATTAGATTAGAGAGGTATTAATTTTGCAAATTATTGTATTATTATTCTTCTTTTCAGCAAAAAAGCAGAACGGGTCGGCATTCCGAACGAACAGCCTCGGGAGCGGGACCAGAACGCCCCCTGCCGAGAGAAAGAGCAAATTCTCAATAGGAAAATTACTAAGGCCGTGGAAATGGAAACGGAAAAGAAAATCGGATAAGTTAGAAGCCGTTTCTAGAAGTAAGTACCCCTAGTAAGTTTACCAGCCGAAGTTCACAGATAAAGCGACATCTATTAACAGCTGTTACAAAGTTATGGTATTCCTTAATTACTATAGGTTTCGAATATATTACCCTCTCACTTTGAACGCTAATTACAAAAATAGAGGGGCAAAAAATTGTGAAAAACATAGCTTGATATACTTTTGAGTATTGATTTGTTGGAGATTTAGAGACTAGATACACAAGTTCTGAATCCACTGTCTTCCAATTTTGATTATTAATGAATTCTAATTTGATTTCATTAAAATTTATTTGGAAGTCAATTAAATCCTTAATATCAGAAATATAACAAAATGGAGTTCCCCAACTCCCTTTCCTAAATACTTTTTGACTAAATTTATTTTGTAATAACTAATTGTTAGATACTTCCTTTTTTAACAGTTATTTTGAAAAATGACTTTTGGACTAATTTATACAAATTGTTTCTGCATTAAATACAATATCAGAATATCGATGTTGTTACAAATTTCGCTAATATTTTTGTGGTAAACAAAACTAAACTAAAATAGTGTTATTAAAGTGACCAAAAAATAAACAAATAAGTCTCTGACATCACTCATTGGTGGGGCATTCCAAAAATATCTCCAAAACTTCTGGATGTCTGTATTCCTATATCTACAAACTTATGCGAATTTTTAAAGTGTTCCATTTTTTTTTTTAGAACAAATTGAGCTTTTGGCATTAGCAGTAACAGATGATCTTAATATTTTAAGATGCGTTCAATTGAATAAATCTATGTATGTTTTTAGAATCCCAAGTAAAACTCGAATACTGCAAAAACTGCTGTTTCTGAAAACGGCAATTCAATTAGATGCCCAATTGTGTTTAATTCGTGTTTAACAGATCACTAAAATGTTTTTATGTCAAGCAAAATAAATACAGTCTTAATTTATAACATTTTATCTCAGAAACTGATATTAATTACATCTTATACACTAATACCTCTAATCTATTATAAAAATTATCTACATCTTTTATATTCCTTATCTATAAAGAGGTATAACGAAAATACAAACAAAATGCTGTTTTCTGATGGACCACTTCTGGGTTATTTTTTAACAAAACAACTTGTTCAGGATTATATAAGTTTCCTAGAAAGATTAGTTATGTATATGTAGAGGAAAAGTCAATAAAGAGGGTCTCAAAACATACAAAAAGGTGATTGATCACAATTCTAAAAGCTATTAAAGTTAGGGTGCATCGATATATACATTCCTCACTGCCTTCTTTAAAGTTGGGGTATAACTTGACATCAAATGCTTGTAATGTGGTAAACTTTGAAACTATTATCTCTCAAAATTGCTTGTAAGTTTGATATTGATTTTTTGTTTACATTTCAAGCAGAAATGTAATCTTGTGATGTATTTTTTTAAGGAAAATAATGCTTGATTTATAAATGAGGGTTTATTTATTTTCAGCCTTAGAAAGAAAAATTTCTGTCCGAGCCAATAGAGACGACCTGGTGCTGAAAGGAATCCTGCTACCAGAAAGTCCATTATCACCTCCAAAATCCGAGCCAGGTGAGTAAAAAGCCCCCCCAGCATCAAATTAATAAAAAAGACAGTTTTATTTTCCGAAATTAATCCGATTTTATTCACATAATTTCAGCTTCTTAAGGAAAATTAACGAGATACCTACTTATCCTTGTTTATATAATGAAGGCTACTTAGTAATTGAGGACGAACTATAAGTTGTAGTGCAACAAATGCCTGTCATTAGCACCACCTATTCAATAATTGTAGACGGCCTAGACGTATACATATTTGCCTCTTTTAATTTTGAATGTTCTTCCCTTTTTATTCACAGAGACAGAAAAAAATGCAAATAAAGTTCTTTGTTTAAGATAGTTTATAAAAAATTAATGAAAGGGGGAAGTTATCAAGTGTTAGGTAGCGACCTCCAGCGGAACATATGCGAAGTTCACCTTTCGTGCTGGCGCAGATCTCTTCCTTTGATTTGTGGGTTTTATCGAACTTTCTGTTTTGCTTTGGACCGGTGCCAGTAGGTGGCGTACCAACGCGTAATACGATGGATTTTTATATCCTGCACCACACTTTTGATAATATAATCTGCAAACCCATGTTATTACTATTATTTATTCAAATTTAATGCAGCAAATTTTCTTCGTCCATTGTTATTTAGTCACAAGTCTGATTTATTTGTATCAATTTCTATGGTGTGTTCAAATAAGAAATATATAGGGTGTCCCAGAGAACAGTGATCATACAACAACCACAAATTCTTCAGGTAGAAACAGGTTAAGTTAGTTTACGTAGAAGCTGTATTAATTGACTATGTGTTTGGGAAATCCATTTTTTACGGCTATATTTATAAGAACTTCTTTTGTTCGAATCAATGGTGCAAGTTTGAATGGATTAGAAAAAAAACCTGCCTCTGAATGAACTCATCTAGTTACATAGAAGAAGAGTCCAATCGCACTTATACAAAGTCTTTGTTACGGAAAGCCGTATGGCTCTTCTCTTCTGTATTCTTCCATTGTCCTTCTTCTTTACGCTTTTTTACTTTTCACCGGTTTTTTTAGTTTACACCTTCTCTTTTAGTTTAAGCTCATTTGTTATACTTTTCACTCGCGTTTTTTTGCCCGCTTATTTTTAACATTACGTCTGCCATTTTCACTCCTACTTTTTTTATTGTCAGCTTACGCTTGCTTTTTTTACTGTACGCCTACTTTTACGCCAATCTTTCTTCTCTACGCCTACTTTTCTTACTTACCGTCTGCTTGTTTTTACTACATTCCTGCTTACTTTTACCATATGACATTTTTTTACTTTACGCCCGCTTCTTTACTTTCCATCCGCTTGTTTATGCTTTACGCCCGCCTTTATTTCTTTGTAGGCACATTTTTGACGAATGCCATTTTTGTCCCGTTTCTTTTATTAAACACTTCCTTGTTTTTATATTATGCACGTTTTTCTGCGCTCGCTTCTTTACTTTCCGCCCGCTTTTCTTACTTGGTATCCGCTTGGTTATTCTTTACGTCTGCTTTTTTCCTTTGTCTTGCTTTTTTCTTTCACTGTTCCCGATTTCTTGCTTCTTGACAACTCTTTTACTTTACATCCGTTTTTCTTATTTTACGCCCGCTTTTCAACTTTGCCCCCGCTTTTTTCTTTACACCTGCTTTTTTTCTTTACTCCTGCTTTTTTTCTTTAAGCCTGCTTTTTTCTTTACGCCTGCTTTTTTAATTCCTTCAAAAATCTTCTCTTTGTTTCGAGAGGAAGGTGTCACATACGGACTCGTCAGGGGATAATCTAAGGAATTTTAAGGTGACCATATCCCTGACCGAGAAATAGTGAAATTTTTGGCGTTTTTAGGTAGTGAAATCTTGAAAAGTAAAACGTGTAGAACAAAAGTAAGCACAAAAATAAAATCCTTGATATTCTGTTTGTTCATTGTTACCATTTAAATTTATTCAAATAAAATTACTAAAAAAAAGCGTTTGTAAAACAATGCGTTCGCTGTTATCCTAACCCCACATTTTAAGAATTATTTTCACGTACTTATAAATAAAAGTAACCAATTTTATATGTAGGACTAAGCAGGTAAATATTATAAGAATATTTACATGTGGAGTTATTTACATGTGGAGTTATATATATTATATAAAAAAGTTAGTATTTTTGTAGATTTCAGTACCTAAAACCATGATGGTTTGATCGTTTTTTGCACCTGGTTATTCGTTTTACTGCGGCGTTTTTGAAAATACTGAGGTGGCTTGACATAACATTCCTATTATTTGATAAGCTTTAGATTATTCAGTTATTAAATGTTTGAAAGAATATGGCGCCCTTAAGAACTACCCAAAATCAATCACCCTATGCTAAAAAAAAAGATGCAGTACTTTTTAAATTGTACATATTCATTGTTTTATTTTAATAAATTTATGTTTTATTTATTAACCTTTTAGAGGACCGGCATTTAACAAGTATTCATGAAATTTCAATTTCATAGTACTTCGAGCAATCAAATTTTGCAACTGCCCTTTTTAACTTTTAGAACTAACTTTTTCTTTAAGAACTGCCTTTTCGGTTTGTAAAATAGATGTTATTGTTGGTATTGTTACTTTTATACATGGGTCATCACAAAGCAGTTATCTCGACAACAGCTGGAAATTCGCCAGAAATTAAGAGGGTATATGAAACAAATAACAAAGTTACTGTTCTGTCAATAAAAACAAATAAATGGTAAGTCACCAGGGGGGTATCACTCCCCCTAACCTTAGGATTCATGGTATATCCTTCCATACGTTTCCATTACATTAATTAGCAACTATGTATCATTCTGTCTTCAACAACTAGCTAGTGTCACCTGAAATAAGTCGAGGCTCCCCCGGACGCTAACTAGTAAGCATCCCAACTACCGGGTGTGCGAGTCAACTACTATTATTATGCCACCTACCTCAACACCACCCAGTATGTGTCAATCAAAGCGCATGTAAGACCCCTTAGAACTTACAAGGCACACTTTGAAGGAACCACAGCCATAAAGACCGGGAACACGTGGCATGCCCTGGGGTTTTCAAAAACATAAACGAGTATGGCATATTACTCACAAATTCACAAATCATTAAACAAATATATTCAATCTAGCACACAGATATAATAATCGACCTTATTCGCACATAAATACTTGGCTGGCGCATTCCGTGTATACAGCTGAGGTTTGATTCAAAGCAACCACGATAGTTTCATTTCATAATAAAATATATATTGATTCGTATTATTACAATACTTTAAAAATAAACAAGTGTTACAGGTTAGAACTAACCCTTAGATTCTCAAAGAGAAAGATAAAAGCCATACGGCTTTGTGTAAAAAGACTATGTATATGACTCGCTCACTTTCAGTTTCGCTTATCTCGATAAGTATTCATTTTTGAGTTTTAGGCGGAGACAACTTTTGATCAAGACTTCTCAAACTATGTATAACATATTTCATATTCAGATAATTTGACGGGTTGCCGATTTCTATTAACTGTGTGCGCAGTCCTTTATTTAAATGTAGTTCTTAAAATATTTCGTTTCCCATAGACAGTCGTTTTGTTGCAGTTTTTTTCAGTGTAGTAAATGGAATATTCTCTTTTTACTTGAATTTTTCTAGGTAATTTTAAGAAAAATTGACGAGTGGTATTTTTTGTGTGGAAGTCGCTTATCAGACATTAACAAAAAACCATTTAAAAATTAAACTTTAACGCCCGGTAACTTTTACACAAAGTATTTTTGGTCTAGAATAAGTTGACTTAAATTCAGTTGATCTTGATCAGGAATCTGCATGGCCACTGGTTTTTTGTGGTCACTCTGTACAATTTTAGATTTAATTACATGAGATCTTACTTAAGTACAAAAACCCAGTGGCGTACAGTTATTATCAATATCCAATATTTCAGAATCGGTTACCATTTTTCGTTTAATTTTATTTTGTTCTATTATTTTGCGCCTTGTGTCCTATGGATGTTTCACGGTTAATTACGTATACGGACAACATAACCCCTGCCCGTCCGGCACGTCGTTTGGCGGGTCGGGGATTAGTTTGCATTTATTGTGACGTTCGTGGAGATAAAGGATTTTTGGTCGTGACATGCAATAACCGGAGCATCAGAGCTCCAATAACGCTTCCAGAATGAAATCGGGAAATGGCACTTTTTACATCATCGGAAAATAACATCTCGCCATCTCGCAGCTTTTAATTTCCGCTTAGAAGTAGATATTCGTGCTTTTTATCGCAGCAGCATCTTTGGAGGAATGCTCCCACAAAAGATAGTCTTTATTCGCAAGAAATGATTAAATCTCCCCTGCGTTAGTATCGGGTGGTTTATAAATTCCAATATCTGATTTACATTTTTATTTATTTGAATAAAATTAAAGATTAACCATTTATTTGTGGCATTTTTAAATCAGTTTGTCGTTTATTCATATGTTAACATGCCACAGATGGAAAAAGTAGAAGCAAGTGATAGCAACATTAGATATAGGTACCCCGTCTAAGGCGGATAAACAAACAAATTATAAACTGTCACATTTGACAGTTTTAGACAAAAATACAACATTTTGAAAACGAAAGTGATCAGCGCTCGCATCATACAGTATTAAGCTAATTCAAACAAATTTAAAACATTCTTTCTAAATATAAACAGTCGTATCAAATGAAGTCAAACAATGTTCTTCGATACGTGAAATCTCGGTATGTAAAATATATACATACATATTATAAGCCCACAGACAAAATTGTTAATTGTTCACATTGCTGGAAAGGTTACTAGATATATGGGTTACATGCAACTAGCATTGAATTATACTCCCAATACCCAGTAATCATTCAACGGAGTATTTTTGTTGATCTTTTATCTCCTTTGACAAAGACGAACGCGTAAAAAACAGCTACCCACTACAAAGAGATCTTTTTGCTTCCACATTTTACCCCCATTTTCATCATGGAATTAATAAATATTAATATAATAAACATTAAACTTTTAGAAAAAATAAACATTTTGAGATAACAGTGTCAATAGCGCTTGCATGCAGATGTAAGATGTTTTTTAACAAACCAATATTTGCCCTTTTTATTACATTTGTAAAAAAAACATATTCTATTATTAGCTCACTTATTTTTTACTCTAAATTAAAGGTATTCACTTAATCGAAATAAATTCAATTTTTTTTTAATCTTATCAAACGAAATCACCTTCAATACCATAAATGTATCTAACCCCATCTAGATTTCTGATATCGAAGAACATTGTTCGCCTTTTTTGAAAAAAAAAATGTTTAATTTTTATTTTTAATAATATTTGGTATATACTTGGTGTTCCACCTAAGAAATAAATTAAATTTGAAAAATTAAATTCTCAGTAAATGCATATGTCAATATTTAGGCACAAAAGCAACTAATGATCGAAACTCTACAACGCCTGTGAACTTGGGAAAAATGAATTGAAAACAGCATCTTCTTAGATAACAAATTCCGCCAACACTAAACTATGAAGCTATCGGGATGAAATTTTTACCACTTATTAAGGGTGCAAAGAGCTTAAAAAATCCTGAATTACAAGTGTCTGCGATGAAAATTGCATTATTTATTAGCAATTGAAAACAAAAACGGACATTTTCGACCATTTTTGGGCTCTTTCGCATAAACAAATTATCGGAATTTAATCGAACTTGTCTCATTTTACAGGTTTATTTAAAAATTTTTTTTCCCATAGTTGAATAAATTTAAAGTATGTATATTTAAAACTATTTGTCTCGTAATAAAAATATATCGAAATCTTTATGAATTAAATACACTTATCTAATTTCCAGAATATTCAGGCTTTTGATGATAGTATTATAAATAAATTATATTTTTTAAAATGCTTGTAACTTTTAAACAAAAACGAATCGGATCATATAAGAAAAAATGTTTAAAATTAACACATCTACCATCTCTCAAAGTTTGTCATAGAGCTTGCGGAACACCCTGTATTTAAAAGAGAGAAAACATGTCTTTGTCAATTTAAATCGAAATATAGTAACAATCAGAAAAGCTAGATGCATATGAAATAGTATATTAAGCATTAAGATTGGTAAGGGTAATTTACCGTTCGAAGACAATGTTTGGAGGCTGAGAACGGTATAACTCTTAACGTTCGTGATGCTTATACTATTTTTTGCACGATCGCAATAAATGAAAACGAAATTATATATACGTACTAGCTGACCCGGCAAACGTTGTTTAAAAAATAAAAACAGAAAATTTTTTCCAAAAAATAAAAAAACAAATTTTGAGGTGGACCACCCTTAACATTTAGGGGTATGAAAAATAGATGTTGGCCGATTCTCAGACCTACTCAATATGCTCACAAAATTTCATGAGAATCGGTCAAGCCGTTTCGGAGGAGTACGGGAACCAACATTGTGACACGAGAATTTTATATATAAGATTTAATTTTTTATGTAACGTCAAACGTTTCTGAATAAATTTGCGAAGCAGGTTTTTTGAAATCTACTGATGTTTATTGTTGTCACGGCTTTCTTAATTGACGAAATTGACAGTTCTAGAACCGGTAGCTATGGTGTTATTTATTAATAATTGAAAGTTCTCCAATTTTACGACGCGTTGTTGCATTTACGAGAATTTAAGAAAGCAAAGTGTTGGTAAAATGAGCGATTCGTCTTTAGATGCAGAGTTAGAAGAAGCGTGGAGTGTTGGATGTTCCACATTAATTCCTGAGAAATCAAGGGAGCGCTATGAAAATACATACAAGATTTTCAAGAAATGGTGTGAGACAAAAAACCAACATATTACCGAGAAAGTTATGGTGGCGTACTTTGTCCAAAGGAACGAAAAATTAAAAGCTCCAGGAAGCTTATGGGCAGAGTATTCAATGTTAAAAAGGACAATTTTTGTTCATGACTCGCTTGACATTTCCAAATTTTCGACATTAATTGGCTACCTCAAACGGAAAAATGTTGGTTACAGACCAAAAA